GATGTCATGTTGGTTCACCCCCCACTCCTTCCCAAAAAGCATCTAACAGCTCCTGTCACGGCCTTCACAGCACGCTCGTGACCCTTCCCTCGTTTCACCCCAGCTTTGGACCACAGAGATGTGTCAACAACTTTCAGCACAGTCCAGAGCCTGAGTTTTGTGCCGCGTGATGCCAACTTATCCCACACTGAGGGAAACACTTGGATGGGAAGCTACTGAGGTTGTGCATCAGTGCGTGGACTCCAAATCTGTACACAGGATAGCTGTACAGTTTAAACCTTGCCCATACCCTAGTCTCTGCATTATATCATCAGTGAAGCTTGCCAAAGTGCAACTCCTGTACCCCAGGGCTGCTTTCAGCATTCCCTTGGCTTCTGCATAAATCAGCCTGGAAGGAAACTGCACACCTGTGCATCTAGCATCTGACAACATCACAGAATCATGGAATCATAGAATCCTGGAATCATTTGAGTTGGAAGGGACCCTTAAAGGCCATCTGGTCCAACTCCCTTGCAGTGAACAGGGACATCTGCAGCTACATCAGGGTGCACAGTCCACGGCCTCAACGCTGTTGCAAAATACTCTGTGATGGCAGGTACTCCCTTGAGTTCTTTTTTGCATCTGCTTTGTCCACACCATGGCAGATCCATATACTGAGTGCCTTCAGATCAAAGGAAATTTTGGCAATGAGCAGTGGGAGGAAACTCTGAACTGCACTACCTTCAGAGGAAACCTGAGGACACCTGTAGGACCCATCACCTGTAGCCACAAAGGACCTGCAGGTCTTCCAGCTGAAGCCATAACATAAACTCTCAGGCTTCATCTTTACTACTAGAACTTGATCTTCTGTATGTAAGTCATTAAAACACTATCTGGCATCTTTTAGGCACCATCTAACTAGCATTTTCCCAGATGATGCCTACATGCAGCCTGATAATTAGCACAGACTTGTGCCCGTTCTCAGTAGGCAGTTTAGAGGGTGAGAGAATTTAATAGTACAGATGCAGGATACCCAGTGCCAGCTGGCCTCTCCACAAGGGAGCAGACCCAGCTACAGTTAATTCACAGGTATAGATGCAGCCTCAGAGTCCAGGACAACATCCAGCTGATGACTGCATCCTCCTCCCTTCAGTTCAACCAACTTGAAACACAAAACAAAGCCACAGTGCTTCTAATCTTTAATTGCCACTGTGCAACATTGGACTTTAGATGTCTTTTGATCCTGTATGAGGTGATCTTTGAATTTCTGCAAGTTAAGGAGCGTCTGAAGTGGTTTGCAGTTCCTTTGAAGGGCTACAGAAGATACTGTTGCAGCACAAACCACCTAGACTTCTCTTCTTTCTATCTAGTTTTCGTTTCATGTGTGCTAAAATGTTTGAAACAATGCTTCCTTTTGCAATATTGACACTTCCTTCTTGCTGAGCCCACCAAGCTGGCTCTGGTGAACAGCAGACCTCTGAGATCCAACCTCCAGAGTAATTACAGCCATTTCAGAGGTAACAAATCTTATCCAAGCAGAAAACAAAGAGAAGTTCATGCGTCAGGCCAGGAGAAGACCTAAGAAATGAACTGGGATCTGATCAGAACAATAAACTAGTAGTGCATACCTTGCCCTGCAAATTGCTGGTACACAGATGGGAAAAACCATAATGGAAATCATATTATCTGAATTAACACATGCACAGTCAATCTAAGTCCATATTGCTTCCTCCTATCCTGAGCAACTTACTAGTACTATTTACAAAATCTGAGTAACAGAATGTTTAAAATCTCATCCATGTTCTTGCTTCTCAGTCTAGCTCTCAGCATTTGTTTGACCTGCTCTGTGTGCTCTTGCTCATGGATTGAGCTCTTAGAGCTTTTATTGTCCAGCAGTTAAAGCAGAATGGGGGATGTAAGAGTTACGTACAAACCTGTCATGACTGTACAGGTCTCTTCTTTATAAGAATTCAAGATAGGTCAATGTGCTTGTGGAGATAAATATGGTTTCCTTAAAAGCCCAGCTCTCCAGCTTTGTGCTTCCTCTCACTCGATGAAAGCCGTTCAAGCAGGTGCTGGCAGTGTGGGACCATTGTCTGAATGTGGAAGAGGTCCCCCAGCTCAGTCCTTCAGCTCCACAGGCTGGTACTGTGGAACCTGAGGTGAGCAGACATCATCTCATCACAGAACCTCTTGCAAAGAGGAGAAAGGAACCAATGTTACAGTGAGAAGAAAATCTTCCAACTCGTTAGTTTACAGCAAAAGCACAAAGTCTTTGGAAGCAAAGTAAGATCATCTCTCTGGGGTTTCCTTTATCTTGTCTTTGCTGCCAGAGCTAATTTCCTGATTTCTAACCCCTCCTTGAGATATGCATAGACACGTTTTAATGAGCTTTTGGGAGATAGGGTTCTTATCCCACTCTTTAGGCAGACTGGATCCCATTCTGTGCTTGCTATTAAGTTTGTCTGCCTTTAATTACTTGCTTGCTTCCTGTTTGACTTCCCAACTTCTTCCCCCTTGACACACACCAATCCCTCAACTCCTTCAGATCCCTGCACCCCGCAGAATTTGAGGGCTGCCATTTGAGGATTCAGTGCCGTGTTGGTGCTTAGATACTGTCCTGGCATCCAGCATCTTCAACACAGGCAGCAAAACAATTCAGGAAGGAGAAAAGGAATGGGAATAGTAAAGCTCACTGCTATCTGTCCTCACATCAGGTGTCCACAAAAACTCCCCCTGAGCCACCAGAGCTCAGCTTAGCAGGACCCACCTTGCTTTGGGAGCTCACTTCATATTGGCTTCTGGCACAGGTTTGATAGACAAAGCAATGTTTTTCACATTAGCCTATGGGAGCTGTTGTGCATTTTAGCAAAAACTTCTCGAGAACATTTGGGCATTGGAACTCATGCCCAGGGAGGTGCTCAAGCAATGCAGAGATGTGGTACTTAGGGACATAGTCTAGTGGGCAGTGATGGCTGGACTAGGTGATCTTGGATTTCTTTTCCAACCTTAATGATTCTGTGATTTTCCTGCCCAACTGCTTATATGATAGCAAGCTTGGATCTCGTGTCTGTAGAGATGACCCCATAGCCCTCACTGTTGGTGGTAGCCCTGTCTTCCAGACAGAGAGCAGAGCTAAAGCCGCATTTTCCCTGATGCAAGCACTGAGGAGCAGGGCTGAAAACCACCAGGCAGTTTCACAGATTCCACTAGAGACCATTTCAGACAAGTCACTGGGCTTGATAATACTGATTTACATAGCAGCATCTCTTCCCTTCGCCGCGGGAATTGCCAGGCAGCGTTCTCTGGCCTGTGCGATGCCAGAGGTCAGGCTGCTGATCAGAGCGGTCCCATCTGGCCTGAAAATCTATAAATTCAGATCTGGATGAAATTGGGCAATTTTTGATTTGGATAAGCATTCATGAATTTAAATGAATAAATAATAATATAATAATAAATCATTCATCTCGCTGTCTAGCTTGCGAGTCCCCTTGAAGACCTGCAGTTCAGACACAGCCAAAGTTTGACTACCTCTGCAATTAGAGCAATGAATTTTAAATGAGGGGGAGGGAGGAGGAAAAAAAAAAATGAGGAAAAAAAAGAAAACAAGAAAAATGAAATGTTTTGGGGCACCATTTATCCAAAGTGACTCCCCCCTCCCTGCTGGCCAGACAAGGGCCAGAGGCTAAACAAACTCATCCCATTCCTGGCTCAGAGTGAAGCTTTCCATCTCCCTGCTCAAGATGATCGTGATGCAGAAACTTCAGTTCCAACTCTGTCATGCCAATAGAAAACTTATTGTCTTCACCAGACTCCTCTCAGAGTTCCTGATTCAATCCCCAGCTGCAATGCTGGTAAAATATATTTATTTATTTTTATTATGGCCTAAAAGAGCTTTGTGCAGTGATTGATGCTATTGCAGACACTGCAACAAAAAGGCTCTGCCCACCAGTGCTATGCAGTGCTTGTGTGCTCACTGCACCACTAATACCTAGCATTGCTCACTCCCCCTGTTATCTTCCCTGGAATCATCCCCAAAATTATTCTGTCCTGGTTTTCTCTTGTGTCTTTCCACCCTCCCCAAGTCTTTGTATTTTATCTTCTGTTTAAACCAGCTCCTGCATCTTTCCCCATTTAGCCTCCTCCACTCATTTCATTAACGTGCTGTTTACTTGTGCTTGTAGATCATTAGCAACAATATTAAACAACTGGCAATTTGCCCAGGAGCTGCTAACTCCGGGGGCTGATGATTTGTTTTATTTTCCATCTCTGAGAGCAGCAAAAGCCATGGGGATGGGTGGACATGGGAAGGCCTGAGCCAGGAGCAGAGATGGGAGAGGCGGTGTGCTTGCTTGTCCTAGTAAATCACCCACCCTGCTTCTTCTCCCAACTCCTCAGTCAGGTCCTCCTCTCATGGCTATGGTTCTGAAGATTTCCTGCCACACCTTCAGCCCCATCAGATCCCTTGTTTCAGAGTAAGTGAGTCTATCTATACCTAGCAATGAATTTCCAGGCAACCTCTTTCCAGCCTCCTTGTATTACAAATCCCTCCTTTCCAGCTGAGAGCTGTGCCAATGAACTTACAGACTAATTCAGCCCATTGTCTAGCCCACCTCTGGTGAGAAGATTTAACCCCTTGCAGGGAAACCCACCTTCACCTCCTGTTACGATTTTCATGGCCTCCCCTTGGATGAGTTCCTCTGAGAAACTTTGCCGAAATACAGAAAACTTTGAGTTCAACTCAGGAACTCATAAAATCTTTTTAGTAACCTAGACACAGTGCAAAATGAACCTCAGGCAACCTGTGAGGTGATGGGAGCTCAGGCAAGGCTAGTCGGATTGTGCCCTGCCACGGCTCTTCCATTTTGATCAAGTAAAGAACTGGCTGCACATTTTCATTATATATTCATCCTTTTTCTTTATAATGTCATTTTATTTTATTTTATTTTATTTTATTTTATTTTATTTTATTTTATTTTATTTTATTTTGTTTTATTTTATTTTTTGCCAGGAGAAGCTGGAGGGAAGAAGAGGTGAAAAGAAGTATATACATTCATAATTTCCCAATATCTGGCAAAAATGTCAAAAGAAAAATCACTGGAAAACGGTAATTGTTATTATTTGACCATCTCTATTCATGAACATCCCAGTTCTACCTCACAGATCTCTTGGGCTTTTAGCCACATACTCTTTGTCCACTCGTATTAAAAGTACCATCCACACAGGACTGCAAGAACCAGCTCTTGAACATCGGATAAGTAAATTATAACCGTCATCATTTCCAATGCAAATCCAGAGCCATCTCCAGCACATGGCCTTTCTTCTCTCCTAAAGTTTCTCACTCAAAACAGGCTACAGCAGCTTGTTTCTGCTCCAGCATTGTCATATTCCTTTCCTCCTCCTCTTTATCCGTAAGGGTACTCGTGGGAACTTCTGTGGGAACCTGGCCTAAGGAAATCAGACTCTTTTGGCCCTTCCTACTTAAGGAACTTGACGCACCTAATAGCTTGCTGTTCAGCGGATGTTTCTATTTGGAACTGATGTGCCTCTGAGTTTAAATACCTTTCTCTATTTTGTATAGATGATTCTTTAATGTCCCTCTTTCCTCCAAAGACTGAAATTACCTCCAAAGTGCACTGCAATTTCAGACATGCTTAGCAGTGCTTTTTACTCACAGGCCTTCCATTAAAGACCATCCATGTGAGGCATGACTTTTTTTTACATATTTTTGGCATTATTAATGATAGAACCATAGAATCTTGGGCTGGAATGGACCTTAAGATCATCTTGCCATGAGGCTTCCCAGTGTCCTCCTGGTCCAAAGGTGTCACATATTATTCCAGCACTGTGTTCCTGCATCAGTCACCCTATGGACACAGACTACTGCCTCCCCACTTTAGCATGGCCTTGTATCTCCGCTCCCCTGTCCTCTTCTAGTCCTTCAAATTATTCCCCAGCTGAAATTTCCTGCTTGTCTTTCTGACCTCACCGAATCCTTTTGCCACATTTCCTCTGACCAAATCATCCCCTCCAGCTCCCCTTAGTCCAGCCTCACCCATACATTTCATTAACATGCTATTTACTTCCACTTCTAGGTTATTAGCGAAGATAGATATTAAACGACTGGCAACCTGCCCGAAGAGATCATTACCTTTGGGGATGATGACTTGTTTTATGCTTCTTCTCTCAGCACTGTGAAAGCAGCAGAGATGGGCAGGTCTGGAAGCTCAAGGCTAGGGGGAAAGATCCAGAAGGAGCTCCACATCTCTACATGTTCCTATTTTCATAGCACCTGTGGGTTGGTGCTTTCACCTCAACATCAACACCCTCCAGTCATGGCTGGTGCAAAGCAGGAGTCTCTGAGCTGAAAGCACTCTGCTCCTCAAAATTGGGAAAAAAGGGAGGATGGTGGATAAGCAAAAAAAAACAGGACATCTGACATTGTCGAAGAGTACTCTTATAACCTGGAACAGGTAGGGAGCAAAGTAACAGCATGATGTTTAGCTAATAAAACTGCATTTCCTCTTGATTGTCTTAGGTTCATAAACACTGTGAGCAAGGAGTGTGATTTAAGTTCTGGCTGCACTGAAATCTGTTCCAAGGAACCAAGATACCAAGGTCTACCTTGCTAGACCAACGCTGGGACACCAATATCTACCAAAGAACTGGAATTAGCTAAATCCCTTCTTAGAGCTCTTCAGCCTCCAGGAATGCAAATATCAGCAGTCCAAGAGCCATCATGCATGCACTGTAAAGGGGAAGGTGTTACCAAGCACCCCAGTGGGTCCTTGTACAAACACAGGTGCTGAAGCCTTTACCCCTTCCAGCCTACTGTATGGCATCTCTGCTTTCAGTCCTCTGGAAAATTGCTTTCCTTTGGAAGAGCTCACTTGGCCGAAGCCTCACTCAACACAGAAAATATTCCAGAAAGCAACTTAACAACTGGTCAACATGTTTCTTGACAACCACCTTGCTTGGTTCAGTGGTCTTTGTAAAATCAGTCTGGATTGACAGCAAAGTAGTTCAGAGAAGTGATTTTTCATCAGTAGGTTTCAGGACAACAGTGATTCCAGGTCAGAGCTTTTTCACATAGGAGTCATGACGTTTTCACCATCCAGGCTGCTCCAGTGCAAGGAAGATGCTCTTCACCCTTCCAGAAAAGTCTTCTTTGGGGCTTTCAGAAATATGGCTCTTACCTGACTTTTACACTCCTTTAAAGAACAAGATGCAAACCGATCTCTTCCCCACTAAATAAAATCACTGAATTGAGAATGGAGGTGTACCAGGTGGCTCCACTCTTTCCCACCTTAAATAAAAAGAAAAAGAAAAAAAGAAAGAAAAAAGGCTTTGAGCTGTTCTTCAAAGGCTGTCTGATTTGCTTTGAATAATATAAAATGATGATGGAGGGAAAAAAGAGAATATTAAACACAGGGCTGTAAAAGCTCTGCGCTCAGCCGACGACAGTGAGAAAGATCCACGAACCTTTTTCATAAAATAACCAGTGATCCCTTCCTTTCTCCCTATCTGCTGGGGGATCAGCAATGCGTACAGACACAGCATGGATAACAAGAGCCAGAGTGCTTCCTCCCAGAAGACATTTCCTCTCCCGGTGATGTCCCAGTGCCTCCCATGTGCTTTGCTGTGAGATTCTCCCCACAGATCCTTCCTGGAGCAGAACAGGAGCAGAACAGAGGGGAAGGAGAGTCACGGGGAGGGAAGGGGAAATGAAGGAAAAAGTATTTTCTTCTGAGCTCCCCTGAGAAAATTAGTGCGAAGCAGGAAGGAGCTGATTGCTGTCAAGGCCTGCCAGAGCCCAGATAGCCGACTGCAGTCCCCAGGCACAAATGTGATAATAGCCAACAAGCTAAAATCATTAACAGTAACGATTGCCTCTGAAAAGACCCGAACACCTAGGAGGAAGAAGCAATGGCAGGAGAGTAAGAAAAAAAGAAAAAGGAAAAAAAAAAAGGGAGCAATTGTAATTTTCTCTTAGCATTTCTGTACTGCTTTCCACAACCCTCTGATCCCAAGAAATATGGCCTCACCCAGTTGAGACCCACCCCAGCTTTGCCCAGCCTTCACTGCTGTGAGCATTTATTCTCCTTTCATTTGGGTGGCAGGAGAGCAAAAGGAATGAGAGTGAGGGATCTAGATGGAAATGTTTCTTTAAAACAGCTGTTACCTTTAGGTGTCTCTTTGGGGATACCATTTGATTAAAAAAGTGATCTGCCTCTTGGATTGGTGAACACAATAAACATCTGGGCTGTCAGCACAGCACACAGAATCATGAAATCATTAAGGTTGGACAAGAGCTCCAAAATCATTTAGTTCAACCATCCACCTACCACCACCATCACCGACTAATCCATGCCCCTCCGTGCCACATTTCTACACCTCCAAAGACAGTGATTCCACAGCTTCCTTGGGCAGCCTGTGCCAGTGCTTCACCACTCTTTCGGGGAAGAATTTTTTCTTAATATCCAACCTGAGAACATCCAGCATGATGTGGGACAAAGAGCGAGGGGGGAAATCATTTCCTCAAACTGGTCTCTGGTTGCTTTGGAACCACTCCACTGGGGTCTTGGTGCACAGCAGGATGAACATAAGCCACCCTGCGTCCTGGCATCCAAGTGGGCTAACAGTACCCTGGGCAGTGTTAACAGCAGCATGGCTGGGAGACTGAGGGAAACAATGGCCTCATTTACCCAGTACTCATTAGGTTGCATCCCAGGTATTGGGCACACAATGCTTCAGTTATCTGGAGCTAATTCAGCAGGGTCTGCTGACATCAGCAGGGGCTGGAGCATTTGCCCTGTGAGAAGGAAAGGACGACCTCATGGGCACCTGTCTGCAGCCTGCCAACACCTACGGGGAGCTGTTGATGAGAAGGTCCTGTACATGGCAGGAAAATGATGTATCAGAGGCAAAAGCTAAGAGAAGAAAGATCTGGACTAAATGTAAAGAAAAACTCCCTTCCAAGTATTTTCAGGGCTCAACAAAGCATTTAGCAATGTTTGCTGACCTGTTTGGATGCAGTTGTAGTTTGTCACATGAAGAGCTCCTCTTCCAAAAATTAATCCTGGCTTTGGATTGGCCCGATGCAAAGTGTCCATCTTAGAAAACACTGTGCCATTCCTCTACTGAAAGATTTGTGAAGTCCCCATTGTCCTTGTCCAGGAGCAGAAAATACCAGTTTCCAGGCTGTTCCTGAGAAGATTCCTCCTGTGGCTCCAGTACCCCACAGGACATCACCAAGTGTCCTTCAGCACAGATTGCTTCCCAGACACAGAGTGTCCCTGATTTCCAGGAGAAAAATGGTAGGGAGGGGGAAGAAGTTATGAGTAAACAGAAATATTCCTGTCTTGAAATGGAGAAGTCCAGAAGGTAGAGAAATCCCACACCATGAATTCAGTTCTGAAATCTTGGCAAAGGTTGAGACATCAGCCTTCGCAGCCAAGTAACTGGTGGCAGGGATAAGAAAAAGAATCTGTCTGAAGTGCAGATAATGCACACATCACCTTGCTATCTAATTCTCCAAATGAGTCTTAGTCTTCACTCAAATCTGAAGAAAAAAAAGCACTGATTAAACTTTAAAAAGCAATTAGAGACCACAAGGGCTACGGGACAGAACCCACTCAGAACTGCAGATATTTTGGGGCTGTCACCTCCAGTTTACCTTCTCTGTTGCATTTTATGGATTACCTTGTTTTCCACACAGCTTCTTTCCCTCACAAAACAGCTGGGAAACCAAATACTCCCCTCACAACCACATACAGGCCCAGCATCTCCAGGCTTTTCTTCACTAGGTATTCAGTCTGAATTAACTGAAGTATAATGTAAAACAGATTAGTCAAACCACATCAGCAGCTCCTCAGACACCCTTGTGTGGAGTCAGAGGTCACGTGTGTCTTTCAGTTCTTTCCCTAAAATGGAAATAAAAGGGGTCTTACTTCGACTTATCTAAATTCTGAGTGTTGAAATAGGGTCCAGATGCAGCTTAATTAATCCCCTTTAAAACAGAATTTGATTTAATTCTCCCATGGGTCTCAAAGTAGACAAGTGCTCAGATATCGCTGCATGGCTTAATGTTTAGCATGAGATGAAATTCTTTCAAGGTGAGCCACTAAACCCTACCTGAATATTTCATTCTCCTTATTGCTGGATTCTGGAGGAAATGCTTTAATTCAGAGAGCAATTACAGATGGTATTGTCATGTGCGTGGTTTGATCATAAACTTGATGAAGTGGAAAGCTCACGGCCCTTGGAGTCAAGTGGTAGAATGAGACTCCCACCTGCCCCGTAACCTCATAGCTCTAACACACTGAGAAGAAGTTGTAAAGTGTGACCATTCTAGGAAAAAAAAAAAAAAAAAAAGAAGAATATTGTCCTCAAATGTATTAGTATTTTTCTAAATCCCACATTTTTTCATACTGCTTGTTGACAATACAATATGCAGTGTCATCTGCAAAACCTCACGTAGTAGATGAATAGACTGAATGCTTAGGAAAGGGCCAGGAAAGTGTAGCAAAATTTACCAACCCTTAAATTTAATTACAAATCCAGAACTAAGAATGTATTCCACAAAAATTTCACAGAGATGGGCATAGAGCAGAGATAGTCCTAAGCCAAAAGGCAGTGAAGAAGCAGATCCAGACCTCAGAGATGTGTCTTGGGCTGTGAGTCTGAACGTTGCTCCGAACTTCACCACCGTGCAGGATGAAAATCCTGAACACCATTCAGTCTAGGGAGCTGAAACTCTGTGTCAGTCCTGCAGCTCCCCTGTTGGATAAACCTAATTTGGTGGCACACAAAACAGTGCCATGTTATGAAAAATTCAATTGAGATTCATCATCTTTGGCTGCTTCTCATAACCTCTCTCCAGAAAAAAAAAAAAAAAAATCAGAACCAATCCTCTCACCCAAATTAACATGATACACCATATCCATTAGTCATATTGTTTGACGTGGGTCCATACCATGCTATACTGGCTCATCTCCGTGATGGGAGGAACGTTATTTATGGCATGTCTAATGGACACAAACAGGCACATGTTCCAACTGAGTTTCACTTTGCCTGTGTTTAGTCACAAACTGCGACATCCCGTATTGAAGGGCATTTTCAGGGCTGAGGGTTAAACGTAAGGGCAGTGCTTGCCCCTCCCACCCCTCCTGCTGGGGATTTCCAGGGTCATCTCAAGCCAGAAAAGCCAGAAATTTGGCAGCACCACATGCACAGAGTGGGAGGACAAGTGAGATCTGACACAAGCCTGCAAATCCACACTGACACTGACAAACATTTTTTAAAAAAATGTTTGCAAAACAGCAATCTGACTTTCCTTTTTCCATCCCTCCAGTACCTGCCACCTCCCACCCAGAGTACAAACCCACGGCGTCTTCAGCGACTTTAAGAGGGACTTTTTAATATTTTCAGCAGTGAGCAGATCACAGCAGGGTTTGACTGCCCAGAATCTCTCTGTTCAAGGAGAAAATGAGAAATCATACTCAGGCCATGAGCCCCAGCTGCAGATAAACGCTGGGCCCTGTGTCACGTGCCATCCTGTTGTGTGGGAATTGTTGGGCAGGATAGATGATCTTGGAGATCTGCAAGACTGTACACATTTGTTAAGTGAAATCACTGCCTGTTTTCTGCAGTATTAAAATTGAGCCAGAGTACAATATATTTATCGATCATTTCTAAACACAGCCAGGATCTTCTTCCATCTCCCTGTCTCCTGTTTATCCAGGCAGGGTCCAGAGCACGTACAAGCACCAGCATCCTGAATACATGCTCACCTTGTCCATAGAGCAGGGAACCCAAACCTTGGCAGTCCACTTCCTGGAAGAGATGGACTTCAGTGCCACCCCACAGCAGGAGACCAGGCAGAAAGGACACAGAAGGGAGAAGGAGAGCTAAGCTTATGTTGGGGCAGACAGGACACATCTACTGGAGCCTGCAAGGATGTGGGACCACTGGGGTGAGAGAGAAAGGCAGAAATGTGGAGAAACCTACAGAGAGGCTGATGGAGGTATCTCCACAACTTTCTCAGGGCTAAGGGTGAGAAGCAAGAACAAGGCTGGACTGAACCAGCAGCAGAAACAGATGCTGGAAGGACACCCAGCATTACAGAGGGATATAGTGAAGAAGCCCAGGCCCAGCAATGACTTCAGCTTTGTTACTGCTCCCTGACACCCTTGGGAGCCACGGCAGAGAAATAAGCCCCTGGATTTATCCCCCTTTTCCAATTAGCTTCCTTCTCCCTCCTCCTCTCCCTCTACCCTGCCGGAATCAATCCTCGTCCTGGCATTTTAAAGGGCAATGTGCACGTTTTATGGCTGTCCCCTATAAAACCATTCTACATGATAACACATCCAGCCCTTTATTAGGGACGTTTGGCAAGTTTATTGGCCAGACATTTTTCTGCACTGACAGATGAGGTTCTGCCATCACTTCTTGGGCAAGCAGGGCCCTCTCCCGTCTCCTCTCCCAGAGGAGCAGGACACAGCCCTCCAGGCACCCTACCAGTTCCATGCATGCAGCTGAGGTGCAAGTTTTGCAGGTTTGGATTGCAAAGGATGGAAACAGGGCCGTCCATCTGTCTTTAATTACAGCTGCATTTACCAAAGAGTCATTAACTCTTTAGAGCCATGCAAATAGTAAAGGAGTTTATGTGATAAAAAAACTGGTAGGTATTGAGATCTCTCTACAGATGAACAGTGAATGAGTGAAAAGCTTATGGGCGATAATTAAGGGACAAGCTATTATGAGTGACAACATTGTGGATGTTGGCTATGACAGGCTGCCTGATCAGGAGGAGGAAGATGATGAAGCCTTCTACAAACAGCTGAAAGTAGCCTCAGGATTAGAGGACTGGCTCTCATGGGACTTCAGCCACTTTGGTATTCGTTGGAAGAGCAACACTACCAAGCACACATATTTCAGGAGGTTCCTGATGTGCACGGAGTATAACTTTACAGCACAGGTGGTGAAGTCAGTGAGGAAAGGTCTGCTACTAGACTTTGTCCTTACGAACAAGAAAGGACTGGTTGGGAATTGTAGGCTGTAGGCAGCCTTGGATGCAGTGACACAGTAAGACAGTAAAGTTCAGGATTTTACGTGGAAGAAACAAGGTGGTAAGTAGGATTGCAAACCTGGAGTTCAGAAAAGCTAACTGACCTCATCAAGATCAGGGGGCATCCCATGGGTTAAAATATTGAAATGAAAGGGGCCCCAAGGGAATTGGTTGATATTCAAGCACCACATTTTCTAAGGTCAAGATCAGTGCATTCCAAAGAGTAAGAAACCATGCAAAGGTAGCAGGAGATATGTGAGCAGATCAGGGGTAAACTTACATGGAAGAAGAAAGTCTATGGAATATCTGTAGAATATAGAAGAGAGGACTGGTCAAGTGGGAGGAATAAAGGAACATTTGTCAGGGCATGCAGGAATGCAATGAGGAAGGCTAAGGTCCACTTGGAATTAAATCTGACAAAGGAGGCCAAGAATAACAAGAAAGGCTTCTCAAAGCATGTCAATAGCTAAAGGAGGACTAGGGAAAATGTGGGTTCACTGAATTAGGTGAGTGCTCTAGTAAGGGCATGCTGAAGAGGCAAAGACTGAACACCTTCTTTGCTTCAGTTTTTACTACTAAGACTGCTAAGGAATTGCAGACCCTGAAGATAAGAGAGTCTGGGAATGGAAGGCTTCCCCTTGGTCAAGGATGATACAGTCTAGGCAAACTTGACACACACGAATCCATGTGTCCTAATAGGATGCACTCTTGAGTGCTAAGAAACCAGCAGAGTTGATTTCCAAGTTGCTTTCTGACAAGTCACAGGCCAGCCAGTCTTACCTTCATCCTCAGGAAGGTGGTAGAACAGCTTATTCTGTGTGTATGTCTGAGCACGCCGAAGAGAAGAAGGTTATCAGGAGTAGTCAATGTGGATTCACTAAGGGGAAATCACATTTAACCAACCTGGTAGCCTTCTATGATGTCATCACCAGGTTGGTAGGATAGAATAGAATCAGAAGTCCTCAGAATTGGAAGAGACCTCTGAGAGCTATCTAGTCCAACTCCCCTGCAATAAACAAGGACGCCACAGCTAGATCAGGTTGCTCAGGGCCTGATCCAGCCTCGCCTTGAAAATCTCCAGGGACAGGGCATCAACCATAATACTAGGTAATCCATTTCAGTGCCTCACCATCCTCACAGCAGAAGATTTTTTCCTTATATCTAACCCAAATCTACCCTCCCTGAGCTTGAAGCCATTTCCCCTTGTTTTATCACCACAGATGCTGCTAGAGTCTGTCCCCTTTGTTCCTGTAGCTCCACTTCAGATATTGAGGTCTCTACCAGGTCACCTCATGGCCTTCTCTTCCCCAGGCTGAACAGCCCCAGCTCTTTCAGCCTGTCCTTGTAGGAGAGGAGCTCCATCCATGGATGAGTAGGTGAGGGGATAGCAGTGGATGTTGTGTATTTTGACTTCAGCTAGGCAGTTAACACTGTCTCCCATCACATCTTCATAGGTGTGGGATAGATGAGTGGGTAGTAAAGTGGATTGAGAACTGGCTGACTGGCAGAGCTCAGCATATTCAGATCGGTAGCACAGTCTAGTTGGAGGAGCCCTGTAACTAGTAGTGTTCCCGGGGGGTCAGTGCTGAGTCAGACTTTTTCAACATCAATGACCTGGATGACGTGGAGATAGAGTCTAACCTCAGTTAGTTTGCTGATGATACAAAGCTGGGAGAAGTGCTTGACACACCAGAAGGCTGCGCTGCCATTCAGCAAGACCTGAATACACTAGAAACCATACGAGGGTCAGGACGGACAAGTGCAGAGTCTGACACCCGGGGAGGAATAACCACATGCATCAGTTCAGGTTAGGAGAGGATCTCTGCAGAGAGGGACCTGAGGGTCCTGGTGGGCAACAGGTTGACCACGAGCCAGCAGTGTGCCCTTGTGGCAAAGAAGGCCAGTGGTATTCTGGGGTACATTTAAGAGTGTGGCCAGCAAATAGAGGGAAGTGATCCTTCCCCTCTCTATCCTGGTGAGGCCACACTTTGGAGCATTGTGCCCAGTTCTGGGCTCCCCAGTTCAAGATGGGGAACTACTGCAGAGTCCAGTGGGGGGACACTGAGATGGCTGTGGGCCTAGAGCATCTTCTGTATGAGGATCAGATGAGAGACATGGGGCTGTTCAGCCTGGAGAAGAGTGACGGGGGATCTCATCAATGCTTATCAGTATCTACGAGCAGGTGTCACATGGATAGGGCTGGGGTTTTTTTTGGTGGTGCCCAGTGACAGGACAAGGGGTAATGGGCACAGATGGAAACACAGGAAGTTCTGTATGAACATGAGGAAAAACTTCTTTATTGTTAGAGTGACAGAGCACAGGAAAAGGCTGCCCAGAGAAGTTGTGGACTCTCCTTCTCTGGAGTTACTCAAAACCCACCTGCACGCTTTCCTGTGCTACCTGCTCTATCAAACCTGCTTTAGCGAGGGGTTGGACACAACACACAAACCAGCCTTCTGTTTTATGACCTCACGCTCCTCACAGCCATCCAGTGTTGAGTGGAAGGGGTTAGCAGAGGTGTAATGAGGGATCAGGGATTAACAGCGGAGACTAAAATTTATCTCAGTCCTTACCGAGCATCACTGTAGCACACTTCAGAGGCCTGCCATAGGGATGGATGAGGTTCCTGAGGAGTGGCTGAGGTGAGCGCCCAAAGCCGTGATGGGGAGGGTGAGTGGCAGCAGGCACTCTGCATCACCTTTTGGGTGTCTCACGTGCACTTTTCACCCCAACACGAAGCTGACTCAGGCTTGGATGTGATTCCCATCCTGCAGGGAGCTTCCCACTGAGTCCTCCTGCCCTGACCCTTTGTCACCATGAGCTCTCCTGTACCACTGGCAGTGGTGGGTCCCCTTTGCCAGCCCCTGCCCGCCGTTGGTTAACGTGTCACATTCCTGGGCTGTGTTATTCTTAAGTACTGTAAATCTCTCACTATTATTCTCCCACTTGATATAGTGAGCTGTGTCATTTTGAAAGGAAATACATAACAGTATATTAAAGAAATCATGGATCTCCTCATTCATGTTTAAAACAAATTTATTACAATGTAAGAAACCCTGAATAGCATGAATTTATTATAATGATTTAAGGCTCCTGGCACTTGAGTTAAAAATGTCTCTCAATAAATAACTTTCCCTTGAAAACACAGCAAATTAATATAGTTTACCATTTCCAAAGTTATATAAATCCAAGAGGCTTAAATCAACAGTATGCTGGATAAGATTACTGTTGCTCAGCCACAGCCTGATATCACAGCTCAGAAGCATGGAAAGAGTAGTAAAAAGTGGATGGCTTTTTTTTTTTTTTTTTTTTTTTTTTTTTTTTTTTTTTTTTTTTTTTGGTCATCTTTCTCTCCTTTCCACCACCCTAGGCTATGTCTGTTCTGTGAATGTCAGACTGACGTGAAATGGATGAAAGCCGCACTGGCCTTTGCACACAGGTATCATTAAAACAGCACAGACACTGCCACAAGACCCAACCAACACCACGTGGATATTTCCCCAAAGTGCGTCCCGCAGGCACGGCAGCAGTGCTTAATTTGCCTGTGGACCCAGGCTAACTCAGGCTGCTGCAGCTCTCACACCCAGCAAACCCTGGGCTCTGTGTCCAAGGGCAAGAGCTCATGTTCATAGATGGAAAGCAGGGTTTTGCCTCTAAAAGGACCTTCCTCGGCAGACCAACCTGCAGACAGCAAGAAGAGCTCAGTCAACACTTTAACGCCCTGGGAGCCTTTCCACTCAGTCGCCAGCAAGGACTTCAATGGCTTTTCATTTTATGAAGGTCTAATTTTTTTCTTTCCTTTGCTGTCAAAGTGTCAATTTTTTCCACAACGTGGCTGATGACTATTTTTTTTTTAAACAAAGTACAGTACCAGTGACATTCTGACAGTGTCAGTACAGCCAGAGCACACCCACCTGAGCTTTTCAACACGGGAAGTTAGGGCTGTTAAGAGCCAGATTGACAGCCTTGGTAAATTCAAGCCCTCTGTACAGCAGACGATGAGAAGCTATTAGATACAGACAAGGCTTTCAGGTCACCCAGTCCATCTCCCATCCCACCTTTTAATTGTCTCTCTCACCCAAGCTATAAATATCTGACTCTTCTCATCTTGTTTCCTCATTATGTCAATTCCAGCAGTCCCTGATCATTTTTATTACTCCTCACTGAAATCCCTCCAATCTGCCAGTAAACTCTCTGGTAATGAGATCCCTGTGCTGAAGGCACTCGTGCAAATACAGGGGCACCAGATTCACTGACAAGGAGCCATTTCCTGTGCAATTTGGAGGTGTCATCGCCTCCTCACCTGCAGATCCAAAGTCTTCTTGTCTGTTTGTGTTGCTATCAGGTATCATCACCTCCTGCTTTGTTCACTCCTCCCCTTCAGAAGGTTTCTACTGTCTGGCTTTCCCCATTGCCACTAAGCAGCCTTTCAGATTGTTTTCTTGGTGGCTGAGTTCACAGATGCAAGCCCAAGTTTACCTTCCACTCTAAATTGAATCCTATGCTTTTTTTTTCTGCTTAGTATTTCTGCTTCACATTATTTCTTCCTCCTCAACTCTTCTAAATATAAGAGTCTCCTGGTTTCACTCTCAGACTTTCTGCTTCCAAGAAAGATCTTAAGTGCAATGAGACCACGTACCTAGCCAATACCTCCGAACAAGGCTCTTGGAAGTGTCAAAAAGGAAATACTGTAGAGAATGAGGCCACTTCATCCCCATTTACAGTCATGGTAACTGGAATTCGGCATCCTGCTACAGTGAAAACCTTTCCAGGTGCATAAATGTTGCAGAACATTCAAAAACAGGCACTGGAAAACAAACACTATGGCAGGACGCTCAAAGGAGCTCAGGTTGCTAAAGAAGGCTGAGCAGGGGTTGAAGAAGAATGCCTATGGGGGTACTTGCTGTCTGCTAACAGTAGAACTGCAGTCCTGCTTCTGTAGGCACAAGTAGTTTCTCCCACTGGAAACTAAAACTAGGCAAATTCAACCTCAAAATCTTGCAGTTTCATAGCAGATAATTAAACACTGAGGTTGTGGCACAGTGCTTTCAAAACGTCAGTGAAAATACCTCACAGACTTCTTTTGTGTCTGTGAACCGACCTCACCATTTCCTTCCTTACCAGCCTTAAAGGAGAAGCGGGCTTCCCATGTTGCCCTTGATGCTCATGGCACTCCCTGCTTCGTGACTGGACAAGGGCACTAATCACCTCCTCTCTTCAGTGCTTTAAGCTAGTTGCCAGGAAGCTATCAACAAAGACAACTTTTCCAGACTTTTTGCTTTCCTCCTCTCTGCAGACAGGAGATCAGAAAGAATGAACGTTATGCTCTAAGGCTGGTTATTGAATGCTATGAATGAATAAAGTGAGCTTGGGGGAGTTTGTTTGGTTTTTCATATATTCAGAAGGATTCCAAAAGCAAAGAAACAAGGGATTCAGGGCTGCCTCTGCAGCCTGTGGATTGGTTTGTGCACTGGAGCTATCTTGGCATCTCCCACCTCATCAGGGCTGCATCTGTCAGTGACATCCAAGTTTCTCCACTTTAGTTTCCCAAAGCCTGATAGGACCCCCTCGGGCCTGAAAATACATAAGGTTTGAGTCTCAGCTTCTGTTAAATGAGAGCATGCACAGGAAGGCAAAAGTGGCTTTTCCAAGCTGGGAATCAAACACCATTCCTTAGACAAAATTGCTGTAGTTGTTACACAGCAACAATCCCTGTGAACAACTGTAGGAGTTGTCATTGGCCAATTCTAACCAGGCCAAGCTGGGTTTCTTGCTATTTTTTTAGGGGACTTCTGCTTCTAGACACCCTCCACAAGCACCATGGTGAAAACTCTGCTACAGCCATGACAAAGAGCCTCAAGGTAGCTGCATGGTGCCACATTACAGTGAAACATTTATTGTCACCATGAGCAGTTCAGACTT